TTTTCCTCTAAACCAAGTTACAACATTTCCCCTTAGGAAATATTTGGGACAAACATAATTAAGGTTAATATAGCTTACCAAATACAAAACAAACAATAAAGAAAAGACGTGCAATATAATACGAAACACAATAAAAAGAATAAAATCGAAATAAGAAACTCCCTCCGATAGCTTTCACAAATTAATCATATGAGGTCCATATCCTAATAGGAATAGAATTTCTCACACTCTCTCAAGCTAGGTCATAAATGTTGTAAAGACCCAGCTTAGTATTCAAATCATTGAAGTTGTCTGGAGGTAGAATTTCCTGAAAACATTTGCGACTTGAAGATGAGTTAAAATGTAGATTAAGAGGGTGTTTGGTTGCCTATAAGATTTGTTTTAAATAGGATTTAGTAAATTTGATACATTCAAATTTATCAAATCCAGAAATAGTGTTTGGTTCAACTTAAGGTTAAATCTATTAAATTTGTTTGTCATGTTAGGCATAAATCAACTCCTATAATTTTCTTCTTATGCTAAATCCGTTAAATCCACATAATAATCAATTTAATAAATATGAATTTAAGTTTAATGAAGTAATGAAAGAAAAAAATAATTGGATTTAGCGAAGTTCGGATTGAAAGTTGACAATTTTTTTGGTTTGGATGGATTTATGTTAAATAGTGTGTAAATCTTGCTCAAATTCAGCTACCAAACACGCCACAAGTTAATAATGTCACCATTGATCCTTTTACGGATAAAATGTCTATCAATCTGAATGTGTTTGGTCATGTCATGATGCACGAGATTCTTTACAATACTAAAAAAGACTTGACCGTCACAAAACATCTTTTAAGGGATTGACTGTGGAGCATCTCAACTCATTTAGTAATTTGGATCCACATTGTCATAAATCCCAAAGCAAGTGCCCGGTGCTTGGAATTGCTCTCAATGGTGATCAATACAATATGATATTCAAAAGATTTAGGCAACTAATTTGAGCCAGTTTAGAGGAATATGAGCAGACAAGTAGCGATTAGCACCTGGACCTCGACTAGGCCGGTACTTTGGGCGATGACCACTTCGATGGAGCCATCCGGCTTCGGCCGCCAGTAGCCGCTCTCGGCATGCATGGGCTCTCCAGAAGCGAGCTTCCATGTTTTCTGGCTATACGCTATCACTGGCTGTGCTCCAGCAACAAAAGGAAAAAAAAAGCGTAGTATTAGATGGGGAAGAATTGTGGGGAGAGCCGGAAGAGAGAGACCTTGCCGGAGTGGTTGAAGAGCAATTCTTCTGCGTAGACGAAAGAGTTGATGGTGGGAAACCCGCCTTCCCCCTGGCCTCGCCATTTCCCAAGCAGAAACGAGAGAGGAGCTATAGCGGGGTGTAGCGGCGGAGGCTCCGATGTAGGATCAACTCCTTCCATTGCCCTGGCTCTTACTCTCTCTCGAATTTGAGTACCAAGAATCATAGCAACCTATGAACAATTTAATAAAGATGCCTCTAAAAACCATTTTAACCTAATATTTAAGATCTTCAGCTTTAAACTAAGGGGGTGTTTGATGGGCAATTTAAATATCATCATGAATAGGTTAGATAAATTCATGGTTAAGTTAAATCAAAGTTTTGCTTTTTTTCATTTATTAAATTTTGATTTAGTAAATCCACTTATTAGCTGGATTTAACGGATCTAGTTTGGG